AATAAATTCCTTTTTGCTGTAGACTCTAAAACAGATTAGCAAATACATAGTTTTATCTCTTGTTACTGAGAGTTTGTGAACAGACCAGTGAAAGGAAGTGCTGCCATGGTAACATAAACCAGACTGTTATTTGGAGACCTTATTCAAGATACTTAACTGCCCTGAACTGCAAGTTTTCAGTACCAGTTCTTCTAATTTGCTGTTTCAAGGAAATAGCGATATTACCATTATCAAAACAATTAGCAATTCTCACAATAGCATTTGAAAAGTAAATTTGAACTAAATAGTTTCTAGGAGTGTAATCTCAGGAATACCAAGATAAAACATGGCTAGAATTATTAAAGTAATTGTCTTAATGTATGAAAAATAATATATGATATATTTTTCTCTATGAAACTAGAGTGGTTTGGGGGGCAAAGGATGTTGTGGGTGCTAACATTTTATAATTTTGTTTCCTTATCAAAACATTTATCATTTGGGCCAAGTGACTGGATATATATCTAATTTAAGAAGTTCCATTGTTTAATCTAAAAATGTTTTAGTAAAACTTAACTTCCTTTGGGGAAAAAAAAACAAACAATTTCAAATACTTGTTTACCATAGTTCATGTGATATCTTGCCGCTGAAGACTAAAAAAAAAACTTTTGCCTGATACATGGTATATTTTTTTCTATAATACAGTGTGATATGCCACTCATGGTTTTTCTTTTCCTATGCATTTAAATTGCTAGGATGTTAAAAACTACCTTATATTCAATTACCATACTTTTCCTAAGACAGGAACATTTTTCCTTCTAAATTTAGTTTATCTCTTATTCTTTACTACCTTTTGCCTCTTATTCAGAATTGACTTTGTTCTTACTGTTAATTTTTTAAAACTCCCTCATCTCTTAGAAGTAAAGGAATAGGAGTATACTGTTGTTAAACCATATAAACTCTTAATATACGTATGCCAATTTCAGAATAACCCCATAGTATTCACTTATTTTGAATCTCTGTCACTCATGTATAAATTACCTTCTTTGAATCTCATCACAACTCAGTTAAATGGCCTGGTTTTTTATTTTATAGGTAAATTATGCATGAGAGAACTGACTCAGAGATATGATTTGTTCAGTATCACATAGCTGATCAATAAAGTGTCCAGGACCTCAGTGTTTTTTTTTTAATCCATATTTTCTGTATCTTTAGATAGAGCAAGGGGTGGGGGGTGAGAGAGAAAAATCAGTGTGAGAGAGACACATCAACTGGTTTGCCTCCCAAACGACCCCATCCAGGGCCTGGGACAAACCTCAACTGAGGTACTTGTCTTTGACTGGGATCGAACCTGCGACTCTGGTCTGCTGGCTGATGCTCTAACTGCTGAGCCTAACAGGCCAGGGCTAGGACCTCAGTTTTTAAACCTGCAGAAGTGTTCTTTCATTGTGTCTTTCTACCATAATAATTATGACATGATATTCAAAGACAAAAGAGCCTCAGTAATAGGCTAATAATACCTTGGAAAAGATTTTGGGAAATGGAAGCACTCTGAAATTCGTCACATCAAATCTTCAGCAATTGTCATAGCTTATATTATAAAATATTTTATACAAACAACAAGGAGCAGGGAAACAGAAACCATGTAAATTTTATTGTCTAAGTAATTGTTAATGTAAATCAAATTAAAGAAAGGGTTTTTGAAATAGAAAAAGTGTACTATAAAAAACAAATTAATAGTTTGTATTTCACTAATCTCCTGAGTTAGTTCTGAGATCTGAGAAAGTTTTGTACATCACATGGTGGGAGAGGGGACAGGTTATACTTACAACTTATTTTTTTACATTTGTAGAGAAAAAAATATGTAGTAGCCAACATTTATTGAGTGATTATGTATCTGGAAGTGTTCTAAGCACTTTTATAATATAGTAATTCTTGAAGTAGGTACAATTTATATAGAGATATATTTTGAGCATACTAATACACAAAGAACATAGTCATTTTTCTAAAGGTTACACAGCTCTTAAGTGATAAGAACCAGTTTCTAAAGTAAAGCAGTCTAGCTCCAAGGTTTGCTCTCTTAACCACTGTACAGATAGTGTTTAGCTTGGGTTTAGCTCAGGGGAAGTGAATGAGATTGCCTTTGGACTTCCTCCTTGTGTAGCTGTGGAATTCTGTGTGTAAGCTCTGTGTAAATGTGGTACATTTGTAGGAATATGCATGTAGTTGGGCTTCTGTTCAGTATGTGCAGGTAGGGATGTTCCGCTAAGGAAATAGGAAAGTTTTATCTCGAAGGAAGAGTGAATGGGTGATATGATAGTTCCTAAAGTTTTTGAGTTACTTATTTTTTTTTTTAATCCTCACCCGAGGACACCTTTCCATATTTTAAAATTCAGATAGAGTGGGAGGGAGAGAGAGAGAGAGAGAGAGAAACATTGACGTGAAAGGGATACATCGAGTGGCTGCCACCCGCATGGCCCAACCAGGGCCGGGGACAAACTGCAACTGAGGCACATGCCCCTAGTGGGAACCGAACCTGGTCTCTCTGGACCGCAGGCCGATGCTCTAACCGCTGAGCCAAACCGGCCAGGGCTTGAGTTATTTTTTGTTGTTGTTAATCCTCACCCAAGGATATCTTTTTCCATTGATTTTTTTTTTTAGAGAAAATGGGAGGGAAGGAGGGAGAGAGAGAGAGGGAGAGGGAGGTACGGAGAAAGAGAAAGAGAAACGTTGATTTGTTGCTCCACCCATTTATGCATTCATTGGCTGACACCTCATGTGCCCTGACCTAGGATCAAACCCTCAACCTTGGTGTATCAGGATGATGCTCTAATCAACTGTGCTACCCAGCCAGGCCCCTTCAGTTATTTCATTTGACTAGCTCAACTACTGTGTATAGGATATTGATGGTTTCTTAAATACTCTCTTGAATTTATTTATCAATTCTATTCTTTTCCTAATTTTTAGTTTATATATTTATCAATTTTCTTCTTTTTTTTTTATCATCACCCAAGGACATTTTTTCTTTTTGTTGTTGTTCAGATAGAGTGGGAGGGAGAGAGAGGAAGAGAGAGAGAAACATTGACGTGAAAGGGACACATCGCGTGGCTGCCATCCGCATGACCAACCAGGGCCAGGGACAAACGGCAACCGAGTTACGCGCCCTTAGCAGGAACTGAACCCAGGTCTCTCAGGACTGCAGGCCGATGCTCTAACCACTGGGCAACCAGCCTGGGCTCAATTTTCTTTTTATATGATTTTATATAAAAATTTACATGATGAAATATTGTATAATTTTTCTCTTCCCCACCCCGTAGATGTAACAAAAATTTGTTTCAGATATTTCAATCCTTAAGAGTGAAACTGTTGCCCGGCTCGTGTGGCCCACTGGTTGTGCACCAACCCATGCTCCAAGAGGTCGCTGGTTCAATTCCTGGTCAGGGCACATGCCCTGATTGTGGACCCAATCCCCGGTGAGGGGCATGCAGGAGGTGGCCAATCATTGTTCTCTCTTATTGATGTTTCTCTCTGTCTCTCCTTTCCTCTCTCTAAAATCAATAAAGAAAATATTTTTTTTTAAAAAAAGAAGGAAAGTATCTGAGAATGTAAATTTCCCTCTAAGTAGAGCTTTGGCCATAGCTGCTTAGTTTTGATACAACAGTGTTTCTTATACCCTTTATTTATAGATAACCTGCAATTGTAGTTTGGATAGCTTTTTAATCTAGGAGTGTTTATAAATTTCCAAGTGGTCAGAGAACTTTGTTGTTATGGAATTGTTAATGTTTATTTTCTTTTTTATTGGAGTCTAAAATTGTGATCTTTAAAGGGGAATTAATTTTTCTTCATGGCCCAATCAATGTTCGTAGGTTTTTCCCCCCCATTAATATTTGGAAAGTATATTCTATAAGAATTCAGTAATTACATCAGTTTTTCTCATAGGTATTCTACAGAAAACTAACTCCTTAAATAGTATCTGGGAGAAAGAGGTTCTGTGCCAAATAACTTTGGGACACCACATAAGCAGGTTTCATTATAGCAGGACTGTTTAGATTGTTTAATCTGTTAATACGTAGTCTGATTTAAGTATGAGGGAGGTATAATATGCAGCATTTTGAAACCTATTCCAAGGAATTATCTCATAGCCTGGCCTTTCCCCTGCAGGTTAGATAATATTTATGAGGTTCTTTAGGTATCTTGTTTACTTATCTTCTTGATAAGCTGTTTCTTCGAATTATGGGAACTGTAGATCAGGTAGCCTTTCTTTCAGGCACCTACCATTTGTAATTTAGTAGGCACTTTTACTTATCGTTTCTCTAGTTTCCAGGAATCATATAAATTCCATTATTTTTAGATTCTATCTAGGTTTTTGTGTTCATTGCCATATTATCCAGAAGTCCTCAAATGTTGAAACTTAAATCATCTTGAGGGAAGCAATGATGCTTCTTCCTCGTATATATATACTTTAATCTTCACACAAGGATATATTGAGAGAGAGAGAAAGAGAGAGAAACATCGATGTGAGAGAGAAAAACATCGATTTATTGCCTCCTGTATGTGCCTCAACCAGGGATCAAACCCAAAACCTAGGAATGTGCCCTGACTATGAATCAAACTCATGATCTTTTGGTGTAGGGGATGACGCAGCAACAAACTGAGCCACCTCCAGGGCTTTTATATTTTTTACAAGAATCTTTTTCATATCTCAGTCACTGACGTTTTGAGACTTTCGCCACACTTTTCATTAAATTGTTTGCTGTTAATGCCATTAAAAAATCAGAATTATTCTTTGATGCCTCATTTAATTGATATATTCCCTAACAGTTTTGGGGAAATGATGTATAGAAAGTTTCCTTTTCTTTTTAATTTTTCAATAACAGTAATAATGGCTAACATTTATTGACATTTTAACGCATGGAGAGCCACTTTGTACAGCCCCCTCCATGCTCTTCACTCCATAATTTGGGATTGTATCATTTTCACAGATTAAAGTTTCAGGTTATTAATTCTTGTGTACTTTATTCTAGGTTAATGGGAAAGGTTCCTTATGGTGTGTTGATCCAGAGTATAAGCCCAACCTTATGCAAGCACTGAAGAAGCAACCTTTTCCCTCAGCATTAACATCCCCAGAAAGGTACAGGATCTTCCATATAAGTGTCAGTGGTGATTTATAAGATTTTCTTGTATGAGATGGAGAAACTCAACAAAGTTTTAGGAGTTTGACATTTTTTTTATTGTATAGAGAATTATTTATGGATAAGACATTAGCCTAAGGCAATTTTACTTACAGTCTAATTTGTGTTATTAGGAAACAGGATATTGGATAGGTAAGAACATAAATTCTGAAAAATGTAGTCATTATTGAATATATTATAACTAAACTCTAAAGAAAGTTTTGTTAGTTTAGGTACAAAAGGTTAAATCATTTTAATTGTCTGCAATACTAATGTTGACCTAATGATGTGGGAAATTAAAAGTATATTTAAAAATTTTAAATAAGATGATTAACAGTTTGTCATTGTAACATTTTGTTTTGTTTGTGCTGGTAAATACAGTTGTAATATATTTCCTTGTCTTTTGTTTTCAAACTCAGTGACTCCTATTGGTCTTAAAGCTTTCCCATTTTAAGTCACATCTGAAAATAAGACCTCCTTAAATCTTATTTTGTTTCCATTTTCTAGAGAAGCCTTCAGAATCTTTTTGAATTCTATTATGTAAATTCATTAGAGTTAAAAGTGCCAGATTTTGTCAAGATACTTTTAAGAGTTGTTTATAATGGTTCATTTGATTTTTGAAAAAATTGTAAACCTTTAATAAAATAATAAATGGAAATTTTCATACACAAAAGTAGAGAGAAAGTTATAATGAACTCTCAGCTACAACAATTATCACCATTTCATATACTAGTTTCTTAAAATATTATTAGATAACTTTTAGAGGCAGCTGAAATACAGTAAAAAAGTATTACATCTAAAGCTGAAATTTATATATAAAGGTGTGTGTGTGTGTGTGTAATCTTAGAGATTTTAGATTTATTTACCATATTAGTAAGTAAAAGGATTATTGTAACAAGAGCTATTGAGTGGTTTATTATTCTTAGGAATGAAATCTGAAAATCAGATTATATCCTCATTGTTTAGGAGTTGTCTTTATTAGTTAATTTTGGTGCTTATGTTCCAGTTAATTATTATCTGGATAATTATTATATTCAAAAAATGATAATAATTGCCCAGCCGGTGTGGCTTGGTGGTTGAGAGTCGACCCATGCACCGAGAGGTCGCAGGTTCAATTCCTAGTCAGGCCACATGCCCAGGTTGTGGATCTGGTCCCCAGTGGGGGGCATGCAGGGGGCGGCCAGTCGATGTTCTCTCTCATCGATGTTTCTGTCTCTCTCTCTCCCTTCTCTCTCTAAAGTCAATAAAGAAAAAATATTTTTTTTTAAATGATGATAATTTAGAAACTAATGGTAAGTTCTGTGATGGTCACTATGTGTTTTATTTAGCTATGCTATATTTTTTTTAATTAAAGATTAAATGGGAGAATTGGCACAGTTTTTTGTATACCATCAAAAATACATTTTATTGTGCCTTTGATATGTTGCCTTTTCCTATTTATATTTTTAACTATCAAATAAAGATGATTTTATGGCTTAAAAATAGGTAGATAAAACAGCGACGGAATAAAGGTTATAATCTCTATCTTAAAACATTACCTTAATATTTTTAGAAATATTTTCTCATTTTCATTATTTTCCAAAATGGAAGTTTCATCTGATATGCCTTTGTATGGCCCTTTCATATCATAATTGGTAATTCTGAGGAGGAGAATGAGATAGTGTATGTAAAACTGTGAACAGGGAATAGACTTTTAATTTAGTTAGAAAACAGATTTCTTATACTATCACAAACTCCAAAAAACAGAAGTAGTTTGTTCCAAAAATGTTTTAATCTTTGATATTAAAAAGAAATTGGTCATCTCTTTATGAATATAGAAAGTTGAATGTGATAATGATATTTACTAATAAAATCAGGATCTTAACCTGTTTTGCACCATCACCATACAGTGTTCCTTAAACATTTGTTTTCATAAGCACTTTCTTTTTTATTTGTCAACCCTCACCCAAGGATATTTTTCCACTGATTTTCAGATAGAGTGGAAGGGAGGGAGAGGGAGGGAGAGAGAAATGTCCATGTGAGACAGACACATTGATTGGTTGCCTCCCGCATGACCCCGGGGTTGGGGATCAAACCTGCAACTTAGGTACGTGCCCTTGACCAGGAATCAAACCAGTGACCGTTTGGCCGTCCCTCCAACTGCTGACACTCTAACTGCTGAGTCAAACCAGTCAGGACATAAACACTTTCGTTTTTGTGGTAACACCTATAGAGAGACATAATGTCAAATTTAAGCATCCAATACAACACCAAATAGTAACTATTATGTATTGCTTGTTGATCTAAGCATTTTAAATGCATTGTCCTTATTTCATTAGCAGAGCAACCCTATGTGGGAGGTTTGGTTATTCCTATTTTACAGGTGAAAGAAGCTAAGAAATTAACTTTAAGACTAATTATTTTGCCTAAGAACATGAAAATAGTTATAATTTAATCTTGGATATTATGCTCTTTCTGCTTTGGCAGACTCTTTCTAAACTGAGTAGTATTAAACAAAGAAAACAAGGTAAAATAGTTTGTGGGGTTTATGTTGTTGTTGTTTTAGAAATTAGTTGAGTTTGTGACTAATTTCTGTAAAAAATTTAAGATTTTTATAAGCACATGTGTCTTATCTCTTTATTTTTCAGTGGCTCTTTATCACCTCACTACTTAAGCTCTGTACTCAAACAGAATCAGGTGCAAACCCTCAAAGGTATGTGTAAGATCAGTATTTTAAATCATAAAAACTCAGATAAAAAATTAGGATTAAAAATTGGTTTTCTATTTATAAAACAATTATGTTTATTGTGGAAAAATTGGAAAATAAAAACACTTACAAAGAAGAAACCAAAACCCTTTATTCTGTTGTTAACATTTTATATAATTGCTTTGGTCCTTTTTATGCTTTATACATGAGTAGACATGTTTGTGTGCATGCATAGACACACACACACACAGAGACATATATTTTCTCCCAATACTAGGCTCATACTATATACAGTTTTATATCCCATTTTAACTTCCTTTTATGTGTATTTTTCTTTGAAAATAGGGAAATATTTCTCAGTACTATTATCAGTAGAGAGTTATCTTTTCAAGTACGGTTTAGGCTAGAATAGGAGTTGGCAATCTATGACCCATGGAACATAACTAGCCTGCCAACCATTTTTGTATGGCCTGTATATTAAGGATGGTTTTATACTTGTAAGTGTTTGAAAAAATAAAAATAATATTTCCATGCTTGTGGAAATTTTCTGGAACAGCAGAGTTAAGTAGTTGGCAACAGAAACCTCTGTATTGTATCCTTGGTTTTGCCTTTTGGTCCACAAAGCCTAAAATATTACTTACTGACCCTTTACAGAAGTTTGCCAACCCCTGAGTTAAATATAGTTCAGAGTATTTTTTATAGGTTATTTAAGTTAAAAGAACTTGAAGAAGACAATAAGTTAACTTTAAAAATTTTTTTAAATTCTCTTTGAAACTATATAAAAATTTTGAATTAGTGAGATTTTCCCCCTACTCATAATTTATATTATACATTAGTAATTTATTAACATAAATTACTTTGTTGCTTTGGAGCCTAGAGAAATTTCTATGATTTTTGAAAATAGAAATTCACAGACCAAAAGCATTTCTGTGTATCAGAGACATATTATTTCTTTGAAACTACACTAAGCTATAAAAATAGAGGAGGCAGAGAATGTGAAAAAGCTTAAGAGAAGTTGGCAAAGAAGTTTAACAGATATGGAGTCCACTTCAGATACATTCTGGCTTTAACGTAAGGTAATTATCTATTTATCTATTACCTGATGGATAAATGTTCTTTCTCTTTACATTTATGTATTGTTGAAACTTCTTTCATCTTTTTATTACCTCATTAATTTCTGACCCTTATTCTTTCAGGCTCAGTTTATATACATATTTTGAGAACATTTTCTTTCTGAATTCGGAGGTTTATTTAGAATCTTGTCTTACTCTCTTTCCATTCCATCTAAATTCTGTTTTTTTCCTGCAGGGAGCAGAAACTTTCACAAGTTTCTCCTGATAGTTTCAATCACCTTTTTTTATAATTAGAGTGTAGGTACTTCTCTTTCATTTAATGATTTGTAAATATTATGCATCATCTCCCCAGTGCTACTAACACCTTATTTTTGTTCACCTCTATATTCATAAGTCGTAGGCCTCTTCCCCTAGTAATAAGTAACATGGTGGGGAGGGTGGTTGGTATTCTGGAGTAAAACAAATGCAGGTCTGTCATGAAATAGAATATAAAATTCTCGTGGGGTTTAAGAGAAAAACAAACAACTTCACAAAAACTTAAGAAAATATATATTTAAATCAAGTTGCTTTAGGACATTTTTAAAGATTTCTGAGGATATTTACTTCTCTCTTTAAACTGTTTTCTAAGGAAAAGTTTGAAAAATACAACACTGAAAGATGAAACATTTATTATATGAGTAATTGTTTTCTTTTTTTCTTTATGGCCTCATGTAACATCTAAAAATGGGCACTTTTTTTTTTTTTGCAATTTTTATTAATTTATTTTTGTTACAGATGTTTCTCCTTTTATCCCCCTAGACACCCTTCCCCCTATCCCGCCCCTCCACCCCAGCATTATTGTCTGTGTCTATTGGTTTCACATATATGCATATAAGTTCTTTGGTTATCTCATCACTACCCCTCCTCTGAAGGTTGGCAGTCTGAACCATATTCCTTTCTATGTCTTTGGGTCTGTTTTGTTAATCAGCTTATTTTGCTCATATATTCCACAACTAAGTGAGATCATGTGGTATTTGTCTTTCTCTGATTGGCTTATTTTGCTTAGCATAATACTCTCCAGGTCCCTCCATGTCTTATCAAAGATAAGACATCTCTCTCTCTCTCCTGCAGCTGCATAGTGTTCCATTGTGTATATATACCACAGTTTTTTTATCCACTCATCTATAGATGTACAGTTGGGCTGTTTCCAGATCTTCGCAATTGTAAATAGTGCTGCTACAAACATAGGGGTACATATATTCTTTCTGATTGGTGTTTCAGGCTTCTTAGAATACATTCTCGAAGTGGGATCACTGGGTCAAATGGCAGTTCAATTTTTAATTTTTTGAGGTAACACCATATTGTTTTCCATAGTGGCTGCACCAGTCTGCATTCCCACCAGCAGTGTACTAGAGTCCCCTTTTCTCCACACCCTCGCCAACACTTGTTGTTTGATGATTTGTTGATGACAGCTATTCTGACAGGTGTGAGGTGATATCTCATTGTTGTTTTAATTTGCATCTCTCTGATGATTAGTGATGTTGAACATTTCTTCATATGTCTCAGCCATTTGTATGTCCTTCTTGGCGAGGTTTCTGTTTAGTTCTTCTGCCCATTTTTAAATTGGGTTCTTTGTCTTCCTTTTGTTGAGCTGTATGAGCACTCTATAATTTTGGAAATTAACCCCTTATCTGATGTATTGTTGGCAATTATGCTGTCCCATACAGTTGGTTGCCTTTCCATTTTGGTGGTGGTTTCTTTTGCTGTGCAGAAGCTTTTTAGTTTGTAGTCCCATGTGTTCATTTTCTCCTTTGTTTCTGTTGCCTTGGGTGATGTATCAGTGAAAATTCTGCGTATGATGTCTGAAATTTTGTTGCCTACATTTTCTTCTAGGATTTTTATGGATTCATGAGTCACATTTAAGTCTTTTATCCATTTTGAGTTTATTCTTGTGTATGGTGTAAGTTGATGGTCTAGTTTCATTTTTTTACATGTAGCTGTCCAATTTTCCCAACACCAGTAAAGACAGCCTCTTTACTCCACTGTATGCTCTTGCCACCTTTGTCAAATATTAATTGAGCATATTGTCTTGGGTCTATTTCTGGGTTCCCTATTCTGTTCCATTGATCTATCTGCCTGTTCTTGTGCTAGTACCAGGCTGTTTTGATTACAATGGCTTTGTAGTATAACCTGATGTCTGGTGTCATTGGTATTTTAATGGGGATTGCATTGAGATTGCTTTGGGTAGAATGGACATTTTAATGATGTTAATTCTTCCAATCCATGAACAAGGTATATGCTTCCACTTTTTTATTTTTATTTTATTTATTTATTTTTTTCTATTTTTTAAATCTTTATTGTTGAATGTATTACAGATGTTCCTCATTTTCCCCCCATTGACCCCCTCCACCCCACTCCTGCCCCCCTCCTGCTTTCCCCACACTGTTGTCTGTGTCCATTGGTTATGCATATAAGTCCTTTGGTTTATTTCTTCCCACCCCCAACCCCCTTCTCTTTGAGGTTTGTTAGTCTAGCAACCAATTTGTTCTTCTTAATCCCTTCACCTTTTTCACCCATTCCCCCAACCCCCCCCCAATCTGGCAACCACAAAATGTTCTCTGTATCTATGAGAATGTTTCTGTTCTGCCTGTTCATTTTGTTTGTAGATTCCACTGTCGATAGATATGTATTCATTGCCATTTTGTTTGTTCATATATTTCATCTTTTTCTTCAAAAAGACCCTTCATCATTTCATATAATAATGGTTTGGTGGGGATGAACTCCTTTAATTTTTTCTTTTCTGGGAAACTCTTTATATGGCTATCGATCTAAATGACAGCTTTGCAGGATAGAGTAATCTTGGTTGTAGGCTCTTGCTTTTCATCACTCTGAATATTTCTTGCCACTCCCTTCTGGCCTGCAAAGTTGTTTGAGAAATCAGCTGACGGTCTTATGGGAGCTCCCTTGTAGGTAACTAACTGCTTTTCTCTTGCTGCTTTTAAGATTCTCTCTTTGTCTTGAACCTTTTGCATTTTGATGATGATGTGTCTTGGTGTGGGCCTCTTGGGGTTCATCTTGTTTGGGACTCTCTGTGCTTCCTGGACTTGTATGTCTGTTTCCTTCACCAAGTTAGGGAAGTTTTCTGCCATTATTGTTTCAAATAGGTTTTCGATTTCTTGTTCTCTCTCTTCTCCTTCTGACACCCCCATCATGTGATTGTTGGCATGCTTGAAGTTGTCCCAGAGGCTTCTTACACTATCTTCATTGTTTTTGAATTCTTTTTTCTTTTTGCTGTTCTGATTGGACATTTTTTGCTTCCTTATATTCCAAATCAATGGTTTGCTTTTTGGATTTACGTACTCTACTATTGAATCTATGTAAATTATTCTTTATTTCAGTTAGTGCATCCTTCATTTCTGACTGGTCCTTTTTTATTATCTTGAGGCCCTCACTAAGTTCAGTGAGGTTCTCACTAAGTTCATTGAGCATCCTTATAAACAGTGTTTTGAACTCAGCATCTGTTAGGTTGCTTATCTCCATTTCGCTTAGTTCTTTTCCTGGGGATTTTTTCTATTCTTTCATTTGAGACCTGTTTCTTTGTCTCCTCATTTTGGCTGCCTCCCTGTGTTTGTTTCTGTTTATTACTTAATGAGAGGTATGGGGATCTCTGAGACCAGATGCTGCTTATTTGAAATGATTTAGGAAAAACCTGAAGCAGGATCTAAGACAGGCCAATCCTATGGTTAAGCAAGTGGCAACAGCTTGGGTGGGCCTGAAAGCTGGGTGGGGCGGGGCCTCAGGGAATCACCAGGGCAGGGCAACCAGTTAGAGCCAGGTTGCTGGAGTCCCAGATATGGCGCCTGTCTGCTGCCCCAGGGATGGGCTCACCAAAGGAACAAAGGCATCTGACAGCACATCTGTCCTGGAGAAAGCCCCCTCTCCAGCCCTTGCTTC